ATATATTTTTTTAAACATTTTATTATAGAAAATTTTAAACGTAGAAAAGTAGATAGTAGTGTAATGAACCCTCATGTACTCATCATCCAGTTTCCAGAACTATCAACCTTTTGATAATCGTGTTTAATATATCCATACTCCCTTCAACTTTTTTCTGAGTACTTTGAAGCAAATCCTAGACATTTATTATTTCACTTATAAATGGTGAATTATTCATAGAGCTTTCTTATTTATTTAAAGCTACTAATTGAGTCCTTTCTATTTTTACTGGCATTGAAGAGTTTCAATGAATCAGAAAAAGACCTTACATTAAAATAAAATCATCTAAGTAAAGCATCTAGCACAGTAATAAGCACAGAATAGGTCCTTTCCCTTCCAGTCTCTAATAGCTTTAAGTTTTAAAAATTCCCAATAATTCCTTAATGTCATAAAATATCTAATCAGTCTGCAAAGTTTCATTGATTTTCATATAATTTCTTTTTATAGTTTGAATTAGGAGCCAAATGAAGTCTATAAATTGCAATTGCTTGATATGTCTTTTAAAACAATTTATAAGCTCCTTTTCATCTCTTTTTTGTTTAATCTTTGCAATTTATTTGTTATAGAAGCTAGGTTGTTTGTCCCTTAGAATTTTCCACATAATGGAGTATACGTGTTCTTTTCTGTCCTGTATTTCTTATAAACTCATAGTAGAGCTAGAGCTTGATCAGAATCAGGTTGATTTTTTGATAACAGCACCTCATAGGAGGTTCGTATATTTCCATCTAGAGACAGTGAATGTCTGGTGGACTTTGTTTTTTGATATTAGCAACCATTGATGGTCCTTGTCTAGATTTGTGCTTTATTCTGTATCCTTGATTATAGATGTTTTATTGGCTATAAAGAAGAATTTTCTGTATTTATAAATTTAAGTGTAGGTAGTTTTTCTTTGATATAAACTGTACGTGTTCTTGAATTTCAGAAATGCTTACATACTGACCCAGACAAAAGGCCCTTCTGTGCCGAGCTCCTACACCATGAGTTTTTTCAAATGGATGGATTTGCTGAGAGGTATAACACTGACCCAGGTTTTTCATGTCATACCAACCCAGGGTTAAAGAAAGGCTTCCACAACAATAACAAACTGTACTTCCGTTATTTCTGTTCCCACCTACTTTGCAAGATCTCAAATACCTACCACCAGTGTTGGTTTACAGCAGAGATGCTTTGTGCATATTCCCATTTTGTCACAGAACACGAAGAGACATGTTCAGGGGTTTAGATTTAATAAAATTAATACGTAAAAAAGTGCTTCACCAGGGATATTCTTAAGTGAAACTTTTTTTTAATTGAAAATATGTGGCTATGAAAAAAACGAGTGCCTATACATTTTGGTGCCACTGCTTTGATTCTTGGTGAGGTGCCAACAGTTTTATCCACCCTTGCTTTTGTACCATCAGTGCAGATGGTGAAAAAGACATCTTCATATTAAAGTAAAAATAGCTTTGACCTTGTAAACCTCCTGAAAGGTCTTAGGGATCCCCAAATATCTACAGACCACTCTTTCAGAACTGATTATCTAGGCCATAATTTTTCTCATGTTCAATAACATAGTCTAACACTCAATTTTTAAAAAATGAATATCTTGGAATTAAAACTTTTTTCTAGGTTTATCTGTTTCATACAATTTTATTGACAAATGTATTTTTATGTAGGTTTTCTCAGGAACTACAGTTAAAAGTACAGAAAGATGCCAGAAATATTTCTTTATCTAAAAAATCCCAAAACAGAAAGAAGGAAAAGGAAAAAGATGATTCCTTAGGTGAAGAAAGAAAAACACTTGTAGTACAGGTAAATTTTCATGTTTAAATTTTAAATTCAATATACTTATTTTTTCTTTTTTTTTTGAGAAAAAATGAAGATTTTAAATAGAGTTTACTGAGTGGTGGACAAGTTAACTTTTAGCTTAGTTGTAAAAACGTATCTTCTCAATAGATATTACCTGTTTAACAACTTACCACATTTTGAGTGCCTGTACCACACCGTGCAATAGTGCTTTTTAGTTAAGTCACACTCATCCAAGAACACCTAGATATGTGTGTGCATGTGTACATACACACAGACTTACGGCACAAACACCACCCCACACTTTTCTTCCTTAAATGATATGAGTAAAAAACAT